TCAGGATCAGCAAGTACAGATAACTTGATTAAATGAATTTTAAAAGAATTAGCTGAAGAGCTATGACCATTATGTGCCTCAATCACAGAATGACGGAAATTTACAAACAGTTGGAAGAAAGCTAATTTTGTGCTAAAAACTGGAAAAATGGAAGTAGAGAAACTGCATAATTATAAGCCAGTCAGCTTAACATGAGTCTAACTCACTAATGGATCTGATTAATAGCAAATATATAGACAACATACTAGTTAACATACCTTCATGGAAAATGCATTTTGTCAGATAATCTTTAAATGAGTTTTTAGATGTAGTTGGCAGACTAGTGATGCAGTTCGTGTAACACATTTGGTTTGTTAGAGCAGAGTGCTTTGATTTAGCTAGATGATTAAGGTTTCTTAACATAATTAGCTGAATGGCAACATAAAGTTGGTGGCCAAGAGCTTAATATAGACCATGTATGTATAACTAAGACATACTGACTAGGAAGGGGTAGATCTTACCACTAGAGTTGATCCAATTTGTGGAGTGGACTTACCACTCAGAAAAGTCAAATAGATGTTCTCTGAATCTTTTTACAAGAACTGAAAGAGGTAAGAAGCATGACTTAATATCCTTGATCAGAAGGTATCAATAAGGTTTAAAGTAAATACCAGGGGAATGGCATTTTAAAACAACAAAACTCAAATCATACCATTGAAGTTTAAACAGAAACCAGTGCAGGATATTCTAACAGCCTATATTGTCCAGAGATCACATAAGGAGATTAACTTAAGTGTTTTGGATTTTGTTGTATGCAGATGCTGCTTGTGAGAGGTTTGTGCTGCATTGAGAATCCTGGTGCACAAACCACTTGTTGAAAAGCCTTCTAAATGCTCAGACTAATGATGGGTGTAATAGAGACCGTGATTTGTAGTATTTGTTCTGTAGTTGTAATGTTTCTATTTTATTCATAATTTCAAATGGATTGTTAAGATTTGTTGCAAATCATTAAATCTTTTGTAAGAGTTAAAAGCTTTAAATTATTACAAAATAAAGAAAAACTAGTCCAATGAGGCATTTAAACTTTTCTTACAAATGATAAAAAACTAAGTTTAAACTAAAGTAAAAGCTCACTTGAAAAAAAGAGACATTTCTTTCCTTGCCATTACTGTCCTTCCCTATCAAAATCTTCAGAGCTTCGCTTGTTAGTAACAATTGATGTGAACTGAAACCATATCTTTCTCTGAAGAATCCTCGCAAGGCCCGTGTAACTCGAAGGTTTATTGTAGTGGAAGGATTGTATATGAATACAGGAGACGTTTGCCCTCTTCCAGAACTGGTAAGTGGTTTCAGTTTGTGTTTTAAATTGCATATGAAAACTTGTGACTAATGAAATAGTAGCATCGTATAGTTAAGCCTAGATAGAAAAATTCTGCATGGAGTTTTTTTACTTTCTTGCTTTCTCAAAAGTTTGTGAAATGGCAATCCCAAATCTTACATTATTTTGAAACTTCTGATGAGGATGAAGAATCTAAAGCTATGTGTAATGAGATTTGCAAAGGAATATCTGGTTATGGTCTTAGTTTTTAACCTGTAAAATACACTGTATTTTCAGCTATGCTGTGTGATACTAAATTGCTGAACTAAGTTATATCTAAAAAAACCCTCGAAGTTTCAAAGAAACCCTCACACAGCTGTCATAAACAATGACTCCAAAACATTTGCCACTTAGTATAAATTGGCTCGTTGTGCAGGCTGTATTCTAGTAGATAATGGAAGAGATGCTGTGGAAATACATAATCTTGAAAGTATTTGATAGCCTATTTAAAAGAAAAAAAAATGTTTTTGTACACGAACATTTATGAAATATACTGTAGTCTTACATGGTGGAAGAATTTTGAAGGCTTTTAAAATGTCTTAATGACAGAACAGAACTCTAGAGCTGACATTTTTGCAGTATTCAGGATACTGTACTTGTCTGTCTTTACCATTTTATTACTAAATTCTGATGGGCTTGACTTGTATTTTATATCATTTGCTCTGTTTTAGATAAAATTGAAGTATAAATACAAGGTTAGAATCTTTTTGGAGGAAAGCCTTTCCTTTGGGGTCCTTGGAGAACATGGAAGAGGAATTACTGAACACTTCGGAATAAATGTAAATGCATTTTTCTTTTTTTTTCAGTTTTGTTGTGAACAAGAGACTTGCACAGAAGCAAGTTACATAACTGATTTTTTTTATACCTGTGGCATTAACAATGTTTGGTAGTTTACGATAGAAATTTAAACATACTTTTCTTTCTTTTCTTTATCAGTCTTAAAGTGTTCAGGTCTCGGCACTTTTCTTTCATGTGCTTTCTTGACATAATTTTACTTATTTTTAGTGAGGAAGATAACAAAAGAATTTTTACAATGCATAACTTTATCGGGGGGTTTTTTGGACACTCAGTGGGATGATGATTGCCGTATTTTCCAACCACATACACTTAGAAGTGTCATACTTACACAGAAATAGTGGAGGGGCTATGAGTAAGTCAGAAAAATCTCAGTGTATAGCCAGCCGACTTGGCTTTTATTGCATTTTACTCCAGTGGGAGAAGAATAGGATAAAGCTTTTGATGGTCCTTTCAAAGATGTTGTCTTACTACGTTACTGGCAGATTGACCCAAACTGTTTTTCCAAGAGTCTACCTTTTGTGGCATTTCTTTAGCTGAGGAGTGATGTGGAAATCCAAAATGGTATCCTTGTGGTTGTTTGCTACCACAGCCACATGAGCTGGGGAAGGAAGAAGTGCTTTTTTGATTGCCAGTGTCTTAGTGGGGAGCATCTCACACTACATTCTGACAGTGTCTGAGTTAAGCTTGGAAGTGAAATTAAAATTCTGAGAATTTATTCTGTCGTTCCCTATTTCCTATTGTTTTCACTTTAAGTGTCTTAATACCAAATGCGGAAAAGAGAAAATTAATGTTAAACAGCTTTAGAAAAGGAAACAGAGTGCTACGGTGATGCTTGCCAAGTACCATCTAATTGGCTTCTATGTTAAATTAATTTAAAAACATAATCTTTCAGTTTTGTCTGCTTGGAATGGGAGTTTGTACCAGTGGTGGTCAGTGTGCATTATAGAGCCTGACCAAAAAATATATTGGCAACTAACAAGTGAAAGAAGACAATTGTGTGTCTAAGGTTCAAACTCTGATTTGACTAGGCTTATGCTCAATTTTAATCATGTTCTAACTCGTGCTGACTGCAGTGGGACTACTTACATTCTTAAAGGACACTGTCACACAGAGTGCTTTGAGGAATTGTCACCAGTATCTATATAATTTGTGTTTTCTGTTTGAGTTCTTCACATTGCAATGCCTGAAAAAGAGTGATCCTGTGTAAATTATCTACAGATCCATAAATCTCAATTTTTAAAGTCCTTTTGTATTGCTTAAAATTATTTCAGTTGTAGCTTCATTTTAATATGTGATAGTTTGGAGAATCTTCTCCGTTATTCATGTAATAAGAAACAAGATACATCTTTAATAGATTTATCTTATAAATAGTCTTGATGTGATCAAAGTATTTTTTAATAACTTCTTAATTTAACTGGCAGATTGATGATATTGATCTTATTAGTGCAAACATGGAAAATTCACTGGCTTCTATTGGAGGATTTTGCTGTGGAAGATCTTTTATTATTGACCATCAGGTAAGTCAGGTCTCATTTTTATGTGGTATGGCAGGATTAGAAGTGAGAGTTAGCCACTAATATCAATTTGCAAGGAGTGTTGTTATATAAATTATTATGCAAGACTGGATCTATACAGGAACTGTCTGGTTCTATGAAATACTGTAGGTGAATTGGAGACCTACATTTAAATCCTTCCATGAACCTGTAAGTGTTGAGGAGAGGTTGTTAAGGTATATGTGAATTAACTTTTAAAATGTTGTCTATACTGCTATAGACAAAAACGTGAATTTTTTTCTTTTTTTTTCCTTTTTTTCTTTTTTTTTTTTTATCCCCCCACAGCGATTGTCTGGTCAAGGCTACTGCTTTTCTGCATCCCTACCTCCTTTGTTAGCTGCTGCTGCTATTGAGGCTCTGAATATTATGGAGGATAATCCAGGTACTTGATTCGGGAAATTCTTATTCTTCAGCCTTTCTTCACCCAAAACAAATAACTCATGCTTCTACCTACTTTGATTCTTCACCGTTTTACTCTTTTAAGTCCTCTGTCTTTTTCAGCTAATTAATTTTACATGCATGATTTTTTTTCTTCGTATTTCTTCCTCTTTTCTTCTTTCAGCTGAAAATTAGGAAGTTAGTTGATACTAGGAGAGACAGAGATCATTTTCACTAAGCAAATAAGAAATTATTATTCTGCTTTATAGACTAATGATATGCTTCTTCCTTGAAAACAAATTCCTTCAAGACAAATGGAAGAAGGGGATGTTAAAGAGAAACAAATGGGAATGTATTTCCCCAGGACTGAACAACCCTTCCCTTACCAGTTGCACTACATAATTTATTTTTTTCTTCACCACGTAAGCATTCAGGCAAGAATTCTCAGGAATGATCATGTTGCAAACACCTGCACTTTGGGCAGGACCAAGTACAGGGCATTTGGATAAAGTTGGCAGGCAGGAGTTTCTGCGCTGGGAGTCGGAGAATGGCCCTTGTTGCTAGAACCTAAGAAAGATATTTTTGGGGGGTTTTTTAAATTTTTTTTTTTGGCAGGAGGTGGAGGGGGTGAGAGGCGTATGAGAAGGACAGAATTGTCCAAATCTGTGTGTATTTGGTTTTAACCTTCATTAGCATCAACAGATTGGAGGACATCTGCAGAGAGATGCAGTGTTTAATTTGTCACAAATAAATAAAAGCTACTGGGTAGCCCACCCCTAGGTCTCAGAAGCCAAAGAAAAGAAAAAGAAAAAAAAAAAAAAAAGATTAATTTATGGGACTGTTAGCTGTGTTAGCTATAGTTGAGGGTCAATGTTTATTGAGAAAAAGAACCAAGGTTTGCAGATCCAGGAGTCAAGGTTTCTTGTTTAAGAATCTGCAGTGAGTTGGTGAAAGGATCAAGCAGCAGAGTCTGCATGGCTGTAGATATTTTATAAATAATAAAATAGTTGGACCTGCCATTTCTATCCCATTACCAAGTGTTTGTGTCATCCATTCCATATGATCATGAACCAATGCAGCTGGAGTAATGAGATAAGGGGAGGTAATGCATTTGTCAGATCTTAAAAGCCTATCATTTCCTGGCAGAAATGGGAATCAGGAACATTATGAAGAGTAGCGAAGAGACTTAGTACTTCAATAGATATGTGTATCTTAGTTTTCCTTCCAAATGCTTTTTAAAAAATCTTAGACTTCTAGAAATGTAAAGTAGAAACAGGATATCTAAGCCTTTTCATTTTTCTTTTTCTTTTTTTTTTTTTTTTTTGTGTGTGTGTAGACATTTTTCAGACTCTCCAGGCTAAATGTGAACGAATTCACAAAGCTTTACAAGGGTAAGTGGTTTTTTTCTGTTCTTTTTGGCTGGTGTTGATTTGACCATACCTTTATAATGCCAACTTTAAAGAACTCTCCTTGCCCAAATCTCTTTCTGGCTTTACGGATGCTTAGACTGGGATATGTACACTAAATTATGTATGTAGTAAAGGAAGAGAGTCATCCTTTTCCAGCTGTCTGTTATGCTACTAAAGAGTCCCAAGTTTTTAAAATCCCTTTACAGATACTGAAATTAGATTATGCCTTAATGCTAGTGAGGATGCTTGCAAGCCTTTACACATTTAAGCCTATATAGAGTGGGATAGCTTTCAGTGGAAGTGTTGATAAGCATTTTGGAAAAAAAAAAGTCTTAAGTAAAAGCATTTGGGATGTAGCTTAGCAGATACTCTTTCGGACAACTCAATGCACCTTGCAATCACTTTTAATATAATATTATTCTTACATGTGAGACTTGAATGTTAAATAGTAATAGAATATTAATTATTCTGGAGGCAGATAGAAAATTGCTAGAATTTATCTGAAAAATAAGGATTCTGTTTAAAATTTCCTGACATTGTCCTGTTTTAAAAGGTGGCTATACTGAGTAATGCTTTTTTTCTGACAGGTTTTGATACTGAAAAATAGTGAAATTGCTGTGACTGTTCAACTGTTTAATGTGCAGAATAGATATGTTAGCTGGTATTTTACAATTCATTTTCTTCAACAGTTTTCTGTTTTTCCAAGTTACAGAAATTAATAACATTTAAACACACACAAAATCTATAATGCATGATTGATTATACTAGCTGAATTTTTTTGTTGTCTTGGTCATTTAGTTATTTAGGTGAGTTGCTTCAGATAAGCGGTTTCCAGCTAGCTGATGTTTTATGTTAGAACTTTAGACACATTCAACTTCCTACCATCAAATAATCCTGTCTCCTTTGTCTGTGTTCTATTTCAACATGGGTTTAAAACGCATAGGCTTTCAGGTCAAAGATACCCAGATGCTTTTACGCTTGAAATTGAAATTTTAGAGTAACTTGAAAATGGTTAGCATCTCTTCTTTGCTAGTAATAGAAAGTTATGATTGAGCTAAAAGGAGAGTAATCCTGATATTCTCCTCTACCTATAATTTTTCGATGATAATTATGTTTAAAATACAGGGGAAAAAATGTAAGGAAAAATTGTCAACCTTTTACTTGTTAATATTGACTGCAAAACAGAAGGGAATAAGCCATGACTGGTATTTTTCTGTCCTGTGACTAGGTCTACCTTTTCATTTAAATTCAGCGACTAGTATAGTCACAAATCAACAAGCAAACAAAATGCCTGAGCGTCTGTAATAGGACTTTCGTATTTTGCCTTGTGGAAAACAGTGTGATATTATAGCAATCCAAAAAAATTGCAAAGGAAGTAGTTCTGGTAGGTTGTACTGGGAAGGAACTTGAAAGCTTTAACAGCATCAAGGAATTGGGCAGCCGTGTAGCAGGAAAACTGTCCTAACAATTGCATAAAGCAGTATCAGAGAAAAGATTTGAGCTAATATTTGCAGGGTACAGTGTGTGGTTTTTTGTGGGGTTTTGTTTGTTTGTTTGTTTTTTAAATTAATAACCACCCTAGAAAAAGTGTATGATGATTTGGAGAGGAGGCAAAGATTTCAGAAACACCTTTTTTTTTTTTTAGTGCTGTGATGTTAAATGCACTCATCTTCCCTGCCGAACCATGGCTGCTGCTTGACTCCAATTCTTCATGGTGCTCTCACTATGATAGAGTGGAACTAGCTGTTGGTTTAAAAAAGAACATAAAATGGTGTTAGAACTGTACACAAAGGAACCAGGAAAGAATACACTGCTTTTCTCCTTTTGTAAAACAAATACAGCGAGAGGAACAAATTAAAAGTAAAGCAAATCTTTCTTTTAGACAAAGTGTAACTAACCTGTGAAATTTAATCTTGATATATAAGGACCAGTGTATAATTAGCATTACAAAAAAATGTTGGTCTTTATATGGATGATGGTGGGGGAAGAAACCATAGCCTTGTAAGCTGGAGGAATGACTGGTGTTCCTGTTCTGGCTACAAGCTAAGTGCCGGCTTATGGAAGAATTCTTCTGAATCCTGCATAGAACTACTTTCTTATTGTCTATGGCAGTTTATAAAGCATAAGAAAACACAGTAAGAGATGGGATGATTAACTCAAATCAGGAATATTATTAACTTTCTTAACAATCTTGGATAAAGTAGGTTTCTGTCTTCTATTTAAAAATATCTGGTGTCTTAGTAAATAGAAACCAAGAAGCTCTGTTGCAGGGAGACAGGATGGTTGGGACAGAATTTTGCGGGTTTTTAAAAAGTATGAAAGTAGTAGGTAGTAACCCTTAAATGGTTCATTACTTGTTGCATATCCAACACCTGGCTGAGAATTTTCCAATAAAGCAAGTTTTCATTGGGGAAAAGCAGATTTATTTTTAAAGATTTTCCCTTCCAAAGAAACTTGATGTTTTTTTCAATGAGACTTCATTCTAGTTTTCTGTTAGCAAAACTGGCATAAATGTTTATGGTGTTCATGGCAGTCTGGCTACACAGGGTCCCCTACTGCCAAGAGCCTGGTCCTGCCATGCGGTTCTGCAGCCCAGCCTTGTATCTGGGGTGCAGAGAGCTATGAGGGGGGAGCTCCATGAGGCTACATCCATACTAGTATGTTAACATCAGGAAGCACTCCTGGGCACTGGATCTCAATTGTCTACTCTTGTCAAATTGTTGGAATGATCTGTGGCATGGGTTTGGTCTGGGACAAGCAGCACTCTTTGAAAGGACTCTTGGATACAGTTCAAGAGTTGGCATGTGCCAGGAGCCATTCCCAGTAGTCAGTTTGGGTTTGGCCACACTGACATGGAGACTCAGATTTTAAAAGTGTGGATGTGAGGCATTGCATACCCATTCACCGCAGGGCCAGAAAACAGTCCAAAGCACATTTAGTTTACTAATACAGAACTCACCTTAAGAGGAGCACTGGAGTTCAGGAGGCTAGTTTTGTTCCTTTGTTACTTCAAAACCAGATTTTTCAGACTTCTCTCTTTTTTGTGTGCAAGTTGTACATTTTTGTTTGAAACTGAAACTTCTCAGCATTTCTTAGGAAAGTGAATTCTGATTTCAGGAAAGCTACAGTGTGCATGCATTGAATTGTCAAATACTTGTTGAATCTTAATTTGGCAGAGGCTGAGAAAAACTTGGTTAATACTTTACATGAAAGTTAAAGTATTGCCATCAGAAGACCTCATGTTAAACTCCTGAGTTTCTTCAAATAATTGGGTAAGATGAATTATGTAGTTCAGTTTACTACAGCTGTGACTGATAGAAATAGTTTTAAGATTAAGTTTGAAACTTGTAATCAACCTCTATGGGTAAGGGTGTATAGCAAATACAAAGCATGTTATTCAGGCAAAGACTCGCTTTAAATGGAAGTGGTACAAAGCTCACTTCGTACTCAGCTTTTCTCATCTTCTCTTTGGAGGGGGGCAGTTTATGATCATCTATTTCAACTAAAGAATTATGTCTCTTTTATGACTGCTTTTATAACTGCATAACACTAATACTGTGTCTGTCTAAACAAAACCTAATTGTTTTAGTGGCTTGTGTTAAACTGTTCTCCAGCAAATAGATTTAAATTACAGTGAAACTTCATCTGACATCGACAAGTAGGGAGATGACAGTAGAATGTGGCTTTTTAAAAGTCAGGTCACTCCTAGGGAACATAAGAACGGATATGTTATATGGCTATATTGTGTATTGTCTTTCTGCCTTGTAGCTTGGCCATGAACTGCTTTTCCTTGTTCTTTATGTTACCAAATGGTGTTTCCCCAATCCTTAGATATGCATTCAGTAGTGAGACAAATGCAGTCTGTGTGCTTGTGTATTAAAGAAATCACTTGTGTTTGGTTAGTTTGCAAGTGTAGGTGAGTGACAGCAGAACATTTGTGGTTTTGGGGCTGAACAAAAATGTTAGTTTGAGCTGTCTTTCTGGAGTGGACCGTGAATTGAAATAGCATTGTAGAAATTATGCAAGATGCTTTCCATGCTAGAGCATAATTTTATTTTTTCAAGGTTATAATTGATTCAAGGTGTTTGTAGTGCCAATTCTCTCTCCTATAGGCTCCAGTTCTGGTGTTTATGGATTTTAACATCTCTTCTGCTCTGACTGGGTCTTGAACTTTGTAAAAATAGAAAATTTATTTGAAAATTAGAGTATAAACTTACAATGTGTATGAGGCAAGCTTATCAAAAGTCAGGAATCAAAAGTTACAGCTGATGGTAGACATGTGTTTATGGGACCTGTTAATTTTGGAGACCAGAAGTCTTGCTCAGGTATTAGATACAGTTCTTTGGAGGGGAGGACTGAATATCATTGTATGAGGTATCAGGACAATGGCAATCAAATGTCATTAATTTAATTAAATTCTAAGAACCTGATTAACAACTGTCCCTACGTACAGATGTGGGAGCCATTCTAGCAATATAACTAGTTTTAGAGGAGCTTATGATTAAGTGATAGATGATGTAAAGATTTGATACCGGAAATAATTTAAAATCAGAAGTCTTGCCAAAAAAATAAACTTTGTTTCTTCTTATCACATAAGTGGGTAAAAAAATTTATTACTATTTATTTTCTTAATACAGACACCAAAGACTTGACTTAGCTAACTGTGTTTTTGTCAGCAGCATACAGTCCTAACACTAATGTTTCTTGTAAATCTTCATAAGGATCCTTTCAACATTTCTGAATCATTAATCCTTTTTGCAAAAGGAGGAGTCACTATTGTTACATAAACTTGCTGAAACTACTAGTAAACTGCTTAGGAAAGAAGTTCGCTTGATAAATTTCTTTACCTATTGCAAGCTGAAATGCACATGTTTTGTCTGCGTTAGTATTAGTAAAGTGAAATATCCCTCTCTTCTCACTCGCCGCCTAGAAAGGGGAAACAGTATCTAGAACTTTCAACACGTGTGTTCAAGTAGGTTGTGCATTAAAGGCTTTTTATTCATTTTAGGATTTCTGGCTTGAAAGTAGTGGGAGAAACTTTTTCTCCAGCGTTGCATCTACAGTTGGAAGAGAGCTGTGGATCTCGAGAAAATGATGTGAAGTTACTCAAAAGAGTTGTGGATTATGTAAGTGTCCCCATAGCAAATAAAATATATCATTGCCTTTGAATATGAATAACGAATGAAGTACATATAGGTAGGGAGGCTTGTTGGGTAATTTGTTTGGAATGTCTTGCAGAAATGCAGCAAACTCAGTTTCTGTGCTGACTATAGGGCTATATTAATAACCATCTTCTAACCATTTCTTGCTGCAGATGTTTAGGTCTGGTGCAGTGGATAAAAATATATATTAGATCTTTTACTTCAGAAAATAATTATTTCCTGTTATGTACTTCAAAACAAGTTAAACTTCCATATAAAACTCTTGCTTAGGAAACTTTTATGATGTTCAGAAGAGTAAAGGCTATAATTTAGAGATCTGGTGGTGTATTTTAACCATTTGAGGTCTAGCTTACTGTAATTTTGCGTGTTTGAGTCCATGAACTTGCTTTTTTGTGTGAAGAATCTTGTGTTTTGTATGTAGTATTTTTTCCATCTTCAATACACATTGGTTCTCTTTCTCCCACATGAAGGAGATGAAGGTTGGTGAGAAAGTTTTATATTTCAGGTGGCAGGTAAACAAGACTACACAACAAAAAGAAACTCTGAAGTTGATTTGCTTGAAAATATGCTTAAATGTTATTTAATAACCTACTTAATACAGCATTTTTGTCTGATTACTTAGAGATGAAAGGTAAATAAGCTACATCCTAACCTGTTTTATGTGTTTATGCTGTATTAAAATTAGAGATGATTTTTTGCACAACCTTCAAAACCTTCATCAAACTCATAGAAGTTAGTTATATGTATTTGATGATCAAAAGGATATGCCATCAGAAATTCCCAGATTGCCAACTGCTATATTTTCTTTATTTGTAGTGCATGAATAGTGGTATTGCATTAACTCAGGCCCGCTATCTGGAGAAAGAAGAAAAATGTCTTCCTCCACCCAGGTTAGTAGAAAGTCAATACATTGTTTCATTTTATTGGGTATGACTCTCTGTCTCTTTTCATAAAATGATTGGGTTTTGTTCAGTAGACTGGATTGAATAGTTAGTCCTGTAAAAAATGGGAAAGCTTCATTTTGAGGTATATTTTCAGTGGCTGTTACAGGATGCCAATACCCTGAAATAACTGTACCAAAACTACCTAAATCTCAATGGTCAGCATGTTGCCTGTTACCAGGCACGTTTCCATGAACTGCATATCTGCAAGTAAAAAAGGTAACAATCAAATTTCTGTGGTGAGTAAGGCTGGGGTGGGGGGGAGGAGTGGGGAAGTAGTTTGACCATTTCTTTTTAATCATATATCTTGTTTCTGGTTGAATTTGAACTCATAATAATTTCTCTAGAGATGGTGATCTTAATGTTTTAAAATTAGTCCAAGAAAAGTCTAAAGCAAGGAGTAAAGTTTACTGTGTATGTTCTGGTTTTCTTTTTCTAGTATTCGAGTAGTGATAACAGTGGAACAAACAGAACAAGAACTGGACAAAGCTGCATCACTTCTTAAGGAAGCTGCACAGTCTGTATTGAATTAGACTGCTGTTTTGGATTCCTCTTTCCCCAAATTATCAGGATAAGTGTTTTACACTGTACAGTGACTTCACTTGAGATATTAGAGTTCTTCCACTGATGGCATTGAAATGTGAGTGAGCAACAAGACTGTTCCAAAATGTTACAAATGCAGTGAGGAAAAGAATGCTGAATTTTGAAACTGGTGAATGACACAGTGCACTTGCAATTCAAACTCTTACCATTTACTAGCATTCCTTAAAACAGGATATCACTGTTGCATACAGGACTTTTTCATAAGTTGCATCTTATAAAGTTTTAAATTTATTTCTGCAAAACCTTGGAAGTTTTCAAAAATGTATATGTATATTCAGTTTTCCCCAAAAACATCTAAAATATATAATTTTCTTTGCATATTCTCAGAATGTAGGAACTTCAAATAAATTTCAATGAATTACCGCCCCCTCCCAATGAAGATAAACTGTCAAACTGCCAAAAGGGAGAAAATAACACATTAAGAGATAATTTTGTGCTATATTATGTCATTTATTATTGGATTACAGGAGGAATTTCAACTCTTTTCTGGTTTTATCTTTCTCTAACTATTTTTGGAAGCCATTTTATTAAGGGTGCCTGGCCAGAGAATTCCATTATCTAAATGGTAAATTCACAGTAAATACTACTTGCTTCCTGCATTTCAAATGTAATGATATGCATGTTTGATATTAAGGGTGAGGTTTTTCGTATTAGTAACTTTTAAAACATCTAAACTGAAACCTCCGATTTGTGAAACTGGTGTAATTCCATTATAGTATGTTCAGTCACGGAGACTTTTCACCAGTCTTGAAGAGGAGTCAAGCAACATGAAGAATGAACCAAGGTTTTGAAACAGCAACTGAATATATTAGCTTAGTCAAACTAATTCAAAGAACTAAAATGGTATGTGCTAAGTTTTGTCTCTAAACAGCTGTACCTTAGAGGGGAAGACTCACAGACAGCTAATAGATTTTAGGTGGTAGAAATACTACTGAATCACAGCTCAATACGTGCACATAAAATCCCCGCATATTTGCATAGTAATATTTGGAGGTTATGCTGTCAGGATTTTCAGTAAGCACAGATGGACATTACACAGACGGACACATTACACCAGTTGGATAGATGAAACTGGTAAGGAAGGGTGACAGTAGGCTGTACCTTTTTATAAAATAAAAACTATAACTCTGTTTCAGGATTTTGCTTTAAGAATGCCTGTTTAAAAAGTTTATAATCTGCCTGATATGTATTCTGGTTTGTTTTGTGCTTACGTGCCTTTTTGGTTGCTGCTACAAGGACTACAGGACTATTTTTGAGAAACATCATTGTTTAAATAAAAAGTTAATCATGTTTGATGGAGATTTTTACTTCTCATGTAATTAGATTTTGTAACATGATAAACCATATTTTCTTGAATATTCTGTGTCAGATGAGCATAGTCTATGTTGCCTATTCAGTTCATAGTGACTGTCTCTGCATTGGCTTTCAAAACTTCTCACCTGTGTACAGTCAGATAAACCAGCTAAAGTTCTGTTGGGGCACTTTTGTGATTGTTGCTTGACTATTTGAAATAGTCAAATCATTATCTGTGCAATGTAGAGAAACCTTCATCCCAACGTGAAAGAGTATTCCTATTTCACTGACATTTATGTTTTTCTCTGTTAACTAAGTAAAAGCCTGTGAGAAGCCAACAATTTAAAAGACCAAAAATGTGGGGAAGGAAGCCGATTCCCATTTTATAGGCTGGAACTGGAGTGCAGAACCAGCTCAAGACCCTTAGAGACTGTGAGAAATGGAAATTAAAACTTCTGTCTGTATTTTGAGCTTCTGAGCCATTTTTGGTTTGATAATTGAAACCTGAATATTCAGGTAAATTCAAGCCTTTGATGTATAAACTGGGAACAAATGAGGTACCTGGATTCCAGTGTGGCACAGTAGATAGTTTTGGAGTTTAAGGTAAACCTGTGAAAGTAAGTAAATCACCAATTAGCATTGAAATACTAGGTTGCAGAATCTATATTCACTTCTTCCATTTTGTTTTAGGTTGGCTGCAAATAGGGGGGAATATTTTTTGTTGCTGCTTTTGAGAACTAGCAACGATCTTTACCTACATGGCTATTTAGATCACCCTAACATGAACACCTTAGAACTGGTAGCTGTTGAAGTACTGTTATAATGTGTGTTATATTGTTAGGTTATATACATGGTCTCTGTGAGAAATGAAGATGCTTATGAGATTGTAACTGGTGGAGAGAGATGTCACTGGTCAGTTCAAGCATGTCTGGCCCTCCTCACTTTGGCATTTTTGATAAATGTCTCTGACATGGCAAGCAGATGAAGGAAAGGATGGCTCTGGGGAAAAAATTTGGTTTGGGTTAGGGAGACAGTAGGTGATTCTGGTTAAACTTTTGACATTAAAAAATCAGAAGCCTGTTAAGGTGCTTAAGTTCTCATGCTCTAGACTGATTACTATATGAATAAGCCTGTTTTAGTTGCTTTATGGTTATGTTTGGATGAAGTGAGACTTTTTCATTCATTTCTTCAGATGTAGGAGCGAAGCTGGGGCCTAAGTAAATAAATGGAAAGCTATTAAGCAGGATACTGTGAGGTGAATCAAACACGTAAGGACCGTATCCTGAACTTCAAAGTTTCTATTGAAAATAAATATTTGAATTCTTAATTTTAATTCAACTAATTTACGTATTTTGCCCTGCCAGGTATTTGGAACAGAGTTGCGGCTAAGTGGAAGCATCAAGATAACAAACAGTGATCAAAAATAAATGTTGTAATTTTTTTTTTTTACTGAAGATTAGTATCTGATAGTTGAGAATTAATGCATTTTAACTGTAATAAAGTGGCCATTTACTGAAATTGTCCTGATAAAAGCAATTATTTGCAGTATGTGGGGACTGAGATGAACTGGAAAGAATTTATATTTGGGAGTATTTTGGCTTGCAGAAACATGTCTACATGTTAGACACATATATTCTTTTTTTAAACAAAGAGATCTCTTTTCCTTGACTATTTAAAAATCATTGATTGTTATTTGTGTAGGTTCATTATTTTTACAGGAAAACTTACAAATGCCTTTACTGTTTATTATACTAATCATTATTTTTGGACAGGAGGTGAAATGCATAAGGAGAGTATTAAGAAAGAAAAAAGATATGGCTGAATAACTTTGATTTTTTTTTTTTCCACTTTTGAAATACGATCCCAGCCACTGCACAGAATGGTGTACTGTCTCCTTTCTGTCACTCCATCTGGACTTTATTATTTTAAACAGGATTGTGGAGTGTTGGCATTCACTGATCTATGAAGTTGCTACTGCAAAAGTGTCTTGCATTTTAAGATAACTCAAGAAATGTACATGATCTGTAAACGCTGCTTAAACAGAGGAAATACTTACAACTAACACAAAGCATTTGTACATTAAACTACTTCAGTGTCCTAATAAAAGTGTCTGGATAACATTTCTTGTGTTTTTATGTTCTTTGGCAGTTTTCATGCTAAGAAGATAATGGACTTACTCTGTCTTGCAGTTGATGGATTTTTCAGATTTGAGTTTCCTGTCCAGTGTGTGCTAGGTCATTGCAAAATATGCATAATAAGTCCCATAAACTAGTAAATCAGCTGAGCTGCAGGTCGCTGGAAGTATCTATCAGGGAAGGACAGTTCTCTACATGACCGATTCCTAATACTGAGATAGCAGATCCTTATGGAATAACTGCTGTTGGAAACTAAACACTGGGCCAGATACAGTTTTGCTGTGACTCAGTATGGAATTTCTGATGTATCAGCAAACTGTTGAGTCCAGATGAAATATGTCCCAGCTTTGAAAGACCTTCATGGAAGAAAATACTGTAATTTTGCCTACTATATTATATGGATAAGATTTCTCTATTTACCTCTGCTATTAAAAGTGTTACCACCTGACTTTGAATGCTCTTTGGATCACTGAGCTGTGTTTTTCAATAGGGGATCCAGTGGTGGCAAAAAACAGTAAGTACTGGAGTCAAAGGAAAATCTAAGCAGAATTGGAAATGTATAATCCACTGGTTAACTTATATTTGGTGCCAGGACAAAAATGGGAATATTTTGGGGCATTACTAACAGAGACATGATCATCTCACTCTACTTGGCACTTCTCAGGCTGCACTTGGAGTACGGTGTCCAGTTCTGGTCCCCACAAGTCAGGAAAGACAAGGCCAGACTGTCGGAGGTCTGAAGGAGGGCCATGAAGATGACCAAAGGGATGGAGAACCTGCCTTGTTGTGGTGGGTTGACCCTGGCCAAAATGCCAGGTGCCCACCAATGCCACTCTATCACTAGCCCTCCTCAACTGGACAGGGGAGAGGAAAAAAAACATAACAGGCTTATGGGGTTGAGATAAGGACAGGGAGATCACTTGGCATTTACTGTCACGGGCAAAACAGACTCGACTTTGAGAAAATGTAATTTATTACCAATTAACTCAGAGAGAAGTAATGAGAAATAAAACCAAATCTTAAAACACCTTCCCCCCACCCCTACCTTCTTTCCTGGGCTCAACTTTGATCCTGATTTCTCTCCCTCCTCCCCCCCCAGCAGCGCAAGGAGGGGAACAGGGAATGGGGGTTGGGGTCAGTTCATCACTCTGTTGTTTTCTGCTGCTCCTTCCTCCTCAGGGGGAGGACTCCTCACATGTTTCCCCTGCTCCAATGTGGGGTCCCTCTCACGGGAGATGGTCCTCCATGACTTCTGCAGCGTGAGTCTTCACACGGGCTACAGTTCTCCATGAACTGCTCCA